GTTGTTTTGGTGGGTCCGGGCTGGGGATTCGAACCCGCCACCTTAGGTGTACGTGGCTGGCGCCTTAGCCGGTTGAGCTATAGGCGCCGAGCCAATATTAAAGAATCTTAACCTATGGAACTGCATACCACCAGGAGACCTTGACAAAGGTATATTAAAAAAAAATAATGACAATGAGGGAGATGGAGGTGACAGTAGAGCAAAAAATAATGACGGTGATGATGATTGGTGATGATGATACAGAATGATGATAAATATCAATCAATTTCGACGTGTTGGACACTCTATGTTGATGATCTCATTTAATCTCTAGCATAATAGTTAATAGATAATTTTAGCATAGTAGTTAAGACATGTGCTTTAAAATGAAACATATCTAGGTTAAATACCACCTGTGCCAATACTAACCTGACCTTGGGCTAGTTATGTTACTCCTCTGAGCCTCAGCCAGGCACATGGTAACCACTCAGTAAATGGCTGTTATTACCAACCCAATGTGATACATTTGAATACGAATGTCTCCATTTTACAGATAAGGAAATTGGAGTTCAGGAGAGTTAAGGAGTTGCCCTGCATCACACAACCTGAGACTAATGATTGAATCTTTCAAAACAGAGCTCCAAGATCTTTCTTTGTGTTGGCTCCGCCTTGGCAGAGGAATGCAGGTCTCCCCTTCACGCTCATCACGTGTTTTGATGGCATCTCAGGGACTCAGTATGGCTTCAGGGAAACTGTCTGTCATACTCCAGAATCTAGGAAGAAACAGCTGCAAGTGGATTCTGGCAACTTTCACACCATCCAGCCTTCCAGGCTCCCCGTACCAACACCCCTAGCTGCAAACATTAACATTAAACTTGAACATGAATGTTCTCTCTTCACGGCTTGCATGAATACATTTGGTTTGTCTACAGAAAAAGTCAGTATCTGCTTATTTTTTCATTAGCCACTAATGCATATATCCCTGTTTGCCGGAGACTCTGCTGATTCATACAGATTATCTCTGCTCACACACCTATTAGAATTTTTAGAGCCACGTTTTTGGCAGCAAGTGGCAGCAGAAGAATGAGACCAGCTGCAGGAAATTAAATTGGCTGAACTTTCCCCTTTGGCATTTGGGGATTGGCTGTTTGGATTTCTATTCTCTCCCTCCTCCCTGAGCCTAATTTTTCTTAAAACTTCCACCCAATGGGTCATAATTAATGCCCCAAGCAACCTCCAGTGGCTTCGGTGTTAGTGGGGAAGGAGGTGTGTGGCCTGAGTAATTTGTGTGCCTTTCTCTAATAGGGTCTGTTGAGCAGAATGGATTGCACAAGCGCAAAGTCATGTGTGAAGGGATGACCTTGTGAAGCTCAATGAACTTAATTGGAAAAGAACCGGGGAGTCTTCAAGGGGACTGAGAGGAGAGCCAGAGAAACTCATCATCAGAGAATTCTGAAATGCGAAGGCTGGGAAGGTGTTTGGCTCAGAAAGTGGATTTCCACTCAGAAACCAACTGTGTTTAAGGGGTAGCAACTGCCTGGAACACTGGGATGAGAGGGCTAATGGGTCAGAGTCCAGGCTCATGGAAAAAAATATGTCATGATCGATTATTGATGTCTGCTTGGGCATGGGAGAGGGGAGCAGAGGGACATGTGACACATGTTTGTCCTGCCCAAATTCATCCTTCCCTCTCATTTTAAAGAAAGGACAAATGAAGCCCAGAGTTAAGAATCAACTTATCCATAGCCATGTAGCAAGTCAGTGGCAGAAATGATCCTGGAACCCCAGGTGTTGCTCTTTGTATGATGCCATGATGTAGTCAGAGAGGAGAAGTTATCTCAGTGGAAGAGTATATGTAATTCTTCATAAGCAAATGTAAAGAAAATGAGGACTGAAATAAGATATATAAGGCCCAGTCTCCTCCACTACCTCTGCGATGCTGGGAAAAACACTTAGCCTCTAGGGGACTTAGTTTCTTTACCTAGAAAACAGACTACATGCTCCATAAGGGATGGCTTAGGCTCACCATCCCATAGTGCTGTCAGGTAACTGAGACCTCTCATGAATCAATCCCATGGCTATGGAATGCATTACAGATGGCCATGGAGACCTGGAGTGTGCTTCAGCACTCCAGCGCCCTGGACAGCTCCCCATTCTAATTCTTGCTTTTGGTGGTGGGCAGGGTAGGGAGAAGGCACTCATCAGCCCTGAATGACAGTGTGAAAAGACCTCAAAAAGGAATTTGAGTCTGGTTGCGCCTGTGGCTCAAAGGAGTAGGGTGCTGGCCCCATATACCAGAGGTGGCGGGTTCAAACCCAGTCCCGGCCAAAAACTGCAAAAAAGTATGACTCTGTTATACTTTAAGACAAATCCCATTCATAGCAAGGCTGAGGAGATAGCTGGCCTCACAGGTCCCACCTAACCCTCCTCTCCTGGCTGAGCCTGTTGCCCTGGAAACAGGGCTTTCTCCAGGAACAAACTAAGGAGAGGGATGACATTTCAGGTGACAGCAGGGCCCCCTTTCCTTCTTATTCCATTTTCCCTTGTTCTCTTGAACCATAGCCCAACAAACTGGGCTTTTCATGCATAAGTACAGAGCTGGGCCCCATGGGCAAAGATAGATGAAAAGCTCTCATCCTTTCCCTTAATGAGTTCATAAGTCCAGAGGGGAAGACAGACATCTGCCCATCTAAATATACAAGGGAGCCTTAGATAATGCCATAATCAAGACACGTAACCTCCTGAAGAAGATGAAGCAATTCTAGATGTATTGGGCTAGCAGGGCTCTGCCTCTCACTCAACTGTGAGCTCTTTGAGGGCAGCAACTGTGTTTATATCCTGCCGCTCTTCCAGATGGCCAACCAGAGGGCTTTGCACGTATTAAACCTTTGGAAAAAAGAGGAACCAAGTCTTTTCTACAGAATTCTACACATTTGTTGGCAGGATCCACGTCCAGTGAAAGACTAAGGTGGTGGAAACTGTCGGACAGACAAAGGTTTCACCTTGGACCACACTGACTGTGACCTTGGGGAGGTGACTGAAAGTTCCAGGATGAGTTTTCCCATCTGCAAAATGGAGGCAATAGGACCAACCTCATAGCATTATTGTCTGTACTAGATCTCTAAGCATAGACTTAATGCATGTCTGAAACCTACTAGATCTTTAGCAAATGTTAGTTTCCTTCTCTGTACCCCTCTCCACTCACTTCCTACTCAGGTGTTTTAACTAGAGCAGGCACACGACATAAGTTTGCAGAATGTAAGAGACAACTATGGATGGCTTCATCCCTTGTAAATGGGTGACAGTTTGTACCTGCTCACGCCACTTCAGGGTTTCGTTTGGGGAGTGAATTAAGTTTGAGTTTCTCTGTTCAAATAGAGTTTTAAAAAATTGTTTCTTGGGACAGAAAGTGCTGAGGAAGCCTGGTTGGGGCGCACAGCTGATCTACCCTGGAACCAGGGCCAGGGGAGGGGTCCCCCCCTGGAGGTACCTTGACGAGGTTAATGCTGGTCCCACTCATGCTGCTGCTTCTGTCTACGAGGAAGATGAACTCTCCCAGGGTCTTTCTTACGTTCGGCTGGACAGACTGCAGGTCAGGACAGAAGTTGAGCATGATGACAGAGTGGTGGGGGATGTCTTTGTGGAGGCGTTTCCGGATGATTTCTGTCTGGAGGAGAAAGGAAAACTCTCTGACACAGGCAAGCAAGCGGAGCAGAAAGCCTCCCGGGGACTCACCACGTTTTACAAAGACCCGGCTCAGGCTGTGCACGAAAGACCTCCAGGTTGACTCGGCTCCTCACCCTGTCGGCTAGACTTTCACAGGTTGCAACAGCAAGCATAGACTTCATAGACAGAAAGACCTGGGTTCGAATCCCAGTTCTGTCACCATCTAACTGTGATTTAGGGCAAGTCCCTCTTCTGGATCTCTTTCCTCTTTTGTAGAAAATGGGGCAAAGAAAATAATAGCCACTTCTTAGGGTGGTTGAGAAGGCGAACTGAGTGAGCAGAACACTCAAAAGAGGTTGCTTAATTAAATAATGGTCTCTTTTGCTTTGGCACTCAGTGTATAAGCTGCTGTCTGGCTCATCTTGGCTGTGAACTTGATTTTGCTGGTTTACTGATTCTCTCCCACTGATAAATTCCTCCCCGTTCTTCACATTTTACCCTGCCCCAATCTTCCAGGTGGACTTAATTGCTTATTTTCCTTATCCATTAAATGAGGACAAAAGTCACCCTGCACTGAGTTGCTGAATGTATCAAATGCGGCACTTGTGAAAGCTGCTGCCGGGCAGAGCAGAGGGTAGCTGTTCCTAAGCAGTCGCTGTCATTGAGTTGCTGCTGCTGCTGTTACCTGCCCTAGGGGCCCAGGTACCGCTCATGCTGAATGCAATTTCTTTTCTTTTTTCTTTCTTTCTTTTTTTTTTTTTTTCTGAGACAGAGTTTCACTTTATCACCCTTGATAGAGTGCCGTGGTATCATAGCTCACGACAACCTCTAACTCTTGGGCTCAAGTGATCCTCTTGCCTCAGCTTCCCAAGTAGCTGGGACTACCTGCGCCCGCCACAATGCCTGGCTGTTTTTTTAGAGCTGGGGTCTCAATCTTGCTCTAAGTGGTCTAGAATTCCTGACCTCAGGTGATTCACCCACCTCGGCCTCCCAAGGTGTTAGGATTGCAGGCGTGAGCCACCGCACCTGCCTGAATGCAGCTGTTTGCTCACATCTCTGCCTCACCCCAGCTTGTGTACAACTTGAAGGCAGGTCATGCCAGAAACTCCTGGTGCATCTCCAGGATTTAATACAGGGCCCTGTCCAAGGACGGATCAATCAGCAATGAAGGAAGGACAGAACCCTTGCTTTTATCTTTTTATGTGGCCCCCTAGCTGGCCCTGAGGCCACCCATGTGCTGCTGCAGAACCTTCTTCCTGACTGTCCACTCACTGCACACAGTCTCAGCTCATCCTCACTCTGCTCTCCCCCCCCCACCCCCGCCAGCTTTCTCTCCGTCTGCCGGTCTCTGTGTGTACACGTGTCTCTCTGTGTCTGCTTCTCAGTTTCTGTTTAGGTTCCTTCCCCATCTCAATAGATGACATCACCACCCACCCAGTTGTTCAAACGCCTGGCAGCTGTCCTTGGTTCTCCTCCTTCCCTCACTCCACGCATCTCTGCCTGAAGCAAAGGATTGTCAGTCCTGCTGCTAAAATGCAACCGGACCTCGTCTTCTCTCTGTCCCCATGGCCACCACCCAACTCCTTAAGATCATCTGTTGGGGGACCCTTGCAATAGCCTCTCAGTGGTCTCTCTCTTCCACTGCCCTCTATCCCTGGTCCATTCTGCATAGAGTGACCAGGGGGGTCGTTCTTGTCATCCTCTTCCGTAAGCAGCGGCCCCTGCTCACACACCGCTACACCAGGCGCTGTGAAGCCCTCTGCGGCATGAATGCTGCCCACCTGTCCGCCTCATCTCTACCCACTCTGCTCCCTACATTTCAGCCGTACTTGCCTTCCTCCTGTTTTCCAAACTGGTCACTGCACTTGTTCTTCCATGCCTTGGGCTCTCTCTGCCCACTCGTCTCACAATGGGCTCTTCCCAGTGGGTCTCATTCTTAGACAAGCTTTCGATAAACCCCTGGCTAAAAGCACCCAGCATGTTGGCCAAGTGTGGTGGTTCACGTCTATAATCCTAGCACTCTGGGAGGCCGAGCTGGGTGCATTGCTTGAGCTTGGGAATTTGAAACCAGCCTGAGTAGGAGCGAAACCCCATCTCTACTAAAAATAGAAAAACTAGCCAGGTGTGGTGGCAGATGCCTGTAGTCCCAGCTACTTGGGAGGCTAAGGCAAGACCACTTGAGCCCAGGAGACTGAGGTTGCTGTGAACTATGATGACACCACAGTATTCTACCCAGGGTGGCAGAGTGACATTCTGTCTAAATAAATAAATAGAAAAGCACCAAGTGCCTATCACTCATCACAAACTCCCTTTCCAAGCAGATCTGGCTCTTTTTTTTTTTTTTT